TATTAACAATAAACAACTTTTTGTATATAGATATTAATACATTTAATATAATACACAAACCTATAACAGAAATTCATTTAATTTCAATAAAAAAACATTAGATTTGAAAAAAGTGTTTTTAAAGAGTTTATTTTCATTAAAAAAAAGCTTATGTTTATATTTTTAAATAATGACATTTTCATTCTCATTCCTTATATATCAGAAGCAATTTTTATAGGCGATTTTTTAAAAAATGTGTCGAGAACACTCCTATGCTAAATTATTATATATTACATCTGTGTCACACTGGTAAAAAAGAGGTAAAATCATGGTTAAACTATGTGTCCTGGGCTACCCTCCAATTTTGAAACATGCCTTTTTTCTAACATTTTTTCTTTTATGTTTTGTATATTATTAAGATACACAATAATTATTTTTTTGTTTCTAATTCGATAGATGAATGTTTGAAATTTTAAAAAAAGTCTTTTGACACTTTTTTTTCTGTTAGCACATGTGCACAATCTATATTATCCTTAAGTGTCCGGGGCTTCCCAACTCTCCCCTACGTTCTTTCATTGTGCAATCAATTACTTTAAATACTATAACATTTTATTTGTTTATTGCAAAAAGTAGAACCACAGCTTACCAATAGTACTAAAAATATTTTTTTGAGATTTTTATTATTAGAGATAACTTGATTCAAAAATTTAGCTCATTTTATAATCTAAATATTTTTGAAAGTATTTGGTGTTTTTTGATTTAATAACAAAATCAATTATAGAATTATATTACCCTTATAGTGTGCATATTTTTGAATAGTAAGCGTTGATCACGCAAAAATATGCCTCCCACCAAAACTTTACTTTAAAAAAAAAATTTTTTTAGTACTTGTCAATTTTCAAGACGGAAATTTAGTTTTTAAAATTAGTTTATTGCTTTGGAAAACCCCATTTTGCATTACCATTAAATAAAATTAAAAAAAAAAAGTACTGTCACAGATTTAATACCTCAAAAATGGGTTGTTTTCTAGTCATTAAAGTTCCATTTACTATAGTTTTTATTGGTATTATATTCTTAGTTTTAAATAATAAGGGTTTATTGTTACTTTTGTAACGTTGATGCGATTCTTAAAAACATTAAATCGCTAAAAACCTCAAGAGTCATACAAAAGAAAATTTAATTTTTGTATAAAGGTTTATATATTTGTGCTTTCAGATAAGCAAGTATAAATATATGATGACATCAAAATCAACTATATGGTGAAATTGGCTAATTCTTTGATAATCAGTTTAATAGAAAGATAATCAGTTAATCTTTGATAATCAGTTTAGTAGAAAACCTTTCCCCTGTAATGAAATACATGAATGTTTTAAATATATTAAAACTTAATTCGCTTTAAATATTAATATTTATGTATAAATATAAGAATAACTTGCTGCCAAAAGTGTTTTCTGATATTTTTAAATCAGCATTTTCACAAAAATACAATCTTCGGTCAAATAACAACCATAACAATCACTTGAGCATAGTAAAATCGCAAAGTGTCGAAATTCTCAATTATTAGCGAAGGCCCGTCATTATGGAATCAATTAAAAAATAAAATTATAAAAAATTTCAAAAGCACTTTCTCTTTTAAACGACAAATGAAACTGCATCTCCTAAATTTCTGACATATATGTAAGAATATTTGTATATGTGTGAGTTTTTATGGGTATATGTATATATGTGTATATATATATGTATATATGAGTTTTTCTTTACTCTTCACGTAGTATTTAACAGATAAAATATTTGTTGTAAATTTTCTAAAGCTAAGAGGGTTTTAAATGATATTGTAAAGGGGCTCTATGAAAAGATTGTGGTGACATCAGTCATCCTTATCTAATTTGAGCCCCTGTCTGCTTTAACAAAAAAAAAAAAAAAAAAAAAAAAAAAAGAAAATAATAATTATTGAATTATTTATTTTAAGTTTAATCATTGATTTTTTCTTTTAGCCAATTCCAATTTTTGATGTTTTTAAAAGTGATTCTATGTTATCTTAACTAAAACTAAATTCTCTTTAAAAAGTGCTGATTTTAGTAAACCCTTTTCACTCTGATAATTGTCCTGATTTTTAATGATTAACCTTGTTCAGTGGCCAGTTAATCATTTATTTGCATATTTTTCATTAAATGATTTGTTTGTCTTAATGCAGCAACAAAGGCATCGGCATTGGAAGAAAAAACGCCTAACAAAGTAATCACTGGTGTTAAAGAGAGCTATTTATTAAAACGATTTTTGATTCTTCACTTTGTGATAACGTACTTTTTCAGTTTTTTTATTGCACCATGCAATTCAAGTTATAAGAAAATATATTGCCTTAAAATAAACCAAAATAACCTCTGTAAAAAAAAACAACACAAATCTGAACTCAAACACAAAGATATATATATATAAGATAAAACTAAAAAATATATATATTTTCCAATATGTCATGGTTGTGTGTTTTAAATAAATTTTGTTTATCTATTAAATTAAAAATATTATGGGGGCAGTTTCATTAGTTTTGCAGTTTACTGAGGAATTGTTTTTTTTTTTATTTCAGATGATGTTGCTAAACAATTTGCAGTCGATAATATTTCGAAAACAGAAAAACACAGATGAGCATCAAATAGAAAGTTAATCCAAATTCTGGTATTTGTGGTACTTCTATTTGTTCATTCCGAATGTTTTTCTATTTCGTTCTTAAAAATGCTTATAATTGGATTTGTTTGTAACTTCATGTTTTTTTATATATTCTACTCTTTTAGTGTGAAACCAAAAATACGCAAATTATTTGAGATATGGTTGAAATTTGCAAAGAAAATAAAAATCAAACTAGTTTTACTTTAAATTATTGTATATAATTTTAAAATTTTGAAGTTAAAGTAGTGCAATGTTTTTTTTATTTTTAGTCTTAATTTCCGTATTTAGCTATTTGCCCGGACTAATATAATAATCGTGTATGACCTTAATAAATAAAAGGAAAAAAGAACTTCACAGCTCGATGTTATACAGTGTAACATTGTGCTTTATTGTTTTTTACAGTGTAGAATTAACATTATAAATGTTAGAAAAACGTTGGAGGACGTTTTTCCGACAGGGTTAGAGATTGTCCATAAAGTAGGTACGCTCGGAGGGGAAGAGGGGGTCTGCAAATGACGTACATAATGAGATGGGAGGGCAGTGGATCAATTATAAAAGAAAAGATGGGAGGGCAGTGGATTAATTATAAAAAAAAAGAGAAATTAAATTAAAAAAGATATGATAAAATATTAAATAAATAGGTTAAAAGCGTAGATACCTTTAGGAGGTAGAGGGTAGTCAAAAAAGCATATTGCAAAATGCGGATATGGGGGTGGGGGGTGGACGAAAAAAAGCGTACGTACTTTATGGACAACCCCTTAGGGTTTATAGGGTTTAACCAACCTCGGCAAATAACATTGACTTATGTTTCATGAATGCCATTATTCCAACGTCTAAACAACGATAAAAAAGACATTGGCTCAACGTCGTTAATATAACGTCTTTATTATATAACGACTTTTTTCTTAAAAATCTTTCCAACGTGATTTAGCTCAAATGTGACGTTGTTACAACGTCACTTTTACATCGTTGCCATAACGTTAGGAATATGACGTTTTTCCGCTGTTTCATTTATAACATAATGCCAACGTCTTTCCAACAATACGGAGGACGTTATTTTTCTTATTGGGTTTGGCGTATTATTGCATGACAATATTAGCGCTATATCGGATATCTTGGCCAAGATTGGCCAAGATAACCCAATATCGCGTTAATGTTACGCCAATATTGTTTGCTACCTGGGTAGCTGTGCTGACTTAAGGGAGGGTCTGTATTCTTAGACACCGCAGTTATAGGGGCCCAGTTTTTTCCTGAAGATTTTTTTATTTTATTTCTTTTTGATGGTTATATATCAGTTTAGGGCTTCTGATTTAAATTAGCCTCAGGCCCAGGAACCTCTTAATCAGGTACTGGCCTCTAGATCTAGAAAGACGCATAAAAAAATTAAACAATCTTTTTTTTTGTATTGCAGCAAATTTCTTTTACTGTTCTTTCAAAGTCTTACAACGTAAAATGAAACATTATAACATAAATTAAAATACAGTAGAACAATAATTTAAAATTTCTATTAAATTCCTGTTTAAAAGTAGAACAATAATTTAAGTTTTCTATTAAATTTCATATTCCGAAAAAAAAAAAAAATTAAATAAAAAATATCAGCTGTTCACATTATGTTGAAACTCATATTTTATAATATTTCATATTTTAAAACTTTGCGCACGAACGATATTTATAAATTGAGCGCTCTATTTTAAAACTAATCAATGTTAATCAGTCAGGCTGTTTTTGGCAATTAAATGAAAATTACAACATATATTAAGATAACTTTTTGTAAATCAAAAAAGGTTCTGAATAAAAAATAGCCTCTTAAAAAAAGCTCATCAATTTTTTTTTGAAATAGTTTCAATTTTTGCGGTGGCCTTCCGGCATATCCTTGTGTAGACCGTGGGCAAAGACAGTATTGGCTACAACAATCTTATGGAGTCATACTAAGTATTTGGAACAGTAGTAAAAATAAATAAATAATAAGACAGGGCCGACGACACGGATTTCGAAGTGTGTGTGTGTGTGTGAGGAGTTGGGGGGGGGGGAATAATTGTCAATTCTTAAAAAAAGTTTTTTATATCTAGAATTTTCTTAAAAAAACAAACAAAAGGTCCTATAGAAAAAATAGTGGGAAGCACGTGCCCCTGGCCCCCCGGTGTCGTCGGCCCTACAATAACAATTCCCAGACAAACGCCTGAAAAACGCGAGGCTTGTTATCTCAAGATTATTGAATCGCAAAATAAAAAAATTTGAAAATTATCACAAAACAGTAAAAAATTTGCGGCACAAAAGTACGGGTTTCCCGGTGTCGTAATTATTTATTACACGAACACGAGTTGATTAAAAAACGTCACGAAAAAAACAAAAAAACATTTTCAAGTATTTTTAATTTTTTGCTTTCATTTAAAATAAATTCGTCAGTGCAGTTTTTTTAAACCCATTACATAAACAAAGATATCGTCACATATAATAAAAATATTGCCCATACAATTTTATAAATGTAAGTCAATAACTAAAGAAACGTGCAAATCTATTATTTTAATATAAGAAGCATATTGATATGGAATATCATCAGATTTAATACTAAAGAGATCAAAAACTAATGCTTTGACTTGTTTTCGTTTACAAATCGAACATTTTTTTTACAGTCTTCAGCCGTCAATATATTAGTCATATAAACAAAACCATAAATACATTTTTATTTGCGTTAAATAAATAATAAGAACAAAAGCAGAAACAAACGAACAAAACAAAATGTTTTCCCGACACAACCGTCTCAATTATGTTTTTCATGACCTAAAAAAAATGGAGAAAACAATGAATACGTGAAATGAAAAACATTACAAAATAGTTAACGAAATTTGTATTTTGAATTTGTTTTCTTAATTCCATTTATCGCGACGATGTTGCAGATAATCTTAATCGCTTTATTTTATCTAGTTATATATATATATATATAATATATATATATATATATATATATATATATATATATATATACACTTAATCAATTTTAAAAATGTATTCTGCAAAATAGAGTGCTCAATGTTCTTAAAAGAACAGAGCAATTTTAAATTAGTAGAAAATCATTTAACAAAAATTTTTTCACAGTGTAAAATGAAAAAAATTTTTGTTAAGTGATTTTCTACTAATTTATATATATATATATATATATATATATATATATATATATATATAATATATATATATATATATATATATATATATATGAATGTAGACATCATGTACGAGAGTATGTAAATTATTATTTTAAAAACATCAATAAATACGAATTTGATATTAAATTTATTTTTTAAAAGAAATTTTTGCAGGATTGTTGTGACCAACGTCTTTAGCTTAAAATTTGTTTTGTTAATTTTTGTTTACTCTTTATTTTTAAAACAACACTTCTATTTTATGTCAATGGTTTCATCTTTTTTTGATGTAGGTGCGCTAAAAATGGTGTCCAAAATTTTGTTGACACACATTGTCCCTCATCTAAATTGATACCGTTTTGTTGAGGGACACATTTGTGGTACTGTATTTACTTATTACTCCGCTACTTTCAAGCTTTAAAATAAAATATAAACATCGTTTTTTTAACTTTTATTAGATAGGAATTTTTTTACTACTTTTTTGTTAAATGTGCGAACAGACAACTGTTAAATATAGCCTATAAAAAAACGTGCGAATAGACACTCTATTTAATTAATTGTTATAGCGTTAAGATATGAAAAATCTTTTTAAAACAACTTATACCTTTCTCATGACGGTGTTCAAAATTTTTTGATTCTAAGACAAAATAAAGTTAATTTACAACTTAAATGTTAAATGTTTTGTTGAAATTTTAGAAAAAATAGAAATTACCTTGAGAATGAGTGTGATGTATCGTAGGTGTAGGATGTATTTTATTATTTTCATTATCTAAAAAAAGAAAGCAGTGTTTTTATTGAAATTATATTTTATTTTTAAAAACAAAGAAAATATAACTTTATTTTAATATGAAGTTAATGCTGTTTTAACAAGGTTTAGAAATATTACAATGAAATTAATAATTTTTTTTTTGTTTTTTAGTCAAAATCGGTCGAAAATAGATAAAACGTTTAGCGACTAATTATTGACCAAAAAAGGTTTGAGATCTACATTTTAAACCTTTAAACATTTACGTTTATTAAAAGTTTACAACATTAACTCGTCAATTTCGTAAACGATTAATAAACTTTTAACTAACATGATATTTAAATGGGTTAAGAGTAAATTTTAAACCTTTTGTAATGTACATTAACTAAATGCCGAATAAACATTTACAAATTGACTAATAATAATCAATATTATTTTTTACATTAGTGTTATATATATATATATATATATATATATATATATATATATATATATATATATATATATATATATATATATATATATATATATATATAGATATATATATATATATATATATATATATATATATAACTTGAAATATGTTTATAACCAATAAGTAAAAAAGTTAGTCAACAAAATAAACAATAAACGAAATATTTTCTTCTTTTAATTTAACAAGTTCAAACAGGAAGCCTTGATAACCACTAATAATAATAAAAAAATAAAGTTATTACCTTGTTGATGATCATGTTTATTCAATTTTCCTATAAGAAAAAATTGTTATTTATTATTTACTTAAATTTTAATCACTAGTTATAAACAGTACTACATGATAAAAGTAGTGCAATATTGTATGGTCCTGAAAGATAAAATTAATTTCATTTTATACTATTTTAAAGTTACTATGATGAATCATAAAAAAAAAAGTAAATTACCTTGAGAATGAGTGTGGTATAAAGAAGGCGTGGGGTGTATTTCATTCTTTTTATTTTCTAAAATAAAATAAATTAAATTTTTATTTTAGTACTTTTGAAATTTTTTTAGGGTTATCAGTTAATAATAATTTAAGTTAATAATGAAAAAAGTTAAGCAGCACACAAAGTTAAAGTTTGACAACCACAAAACTGGCTCTTTATTCCCCGTTGTACTTTTTGTTGAAAAATAACCAGCAATTAAGATTTGGGGTTGAAATCACTGCCAACGGTTGTGCTGGTCTACACCTTTTACAACAAGGTGAAAAAGTCCTAACCACTAATTGTTTGGAATTTTAGAAGAGCAACGTGTCTAATTGGTTTCGATTTTGAAAGTTTAATGTTTTTAATTATGACCCAGCTTGCCATAAGACATTGCTTCAAAAAAATGCAATTGATGTTTTTGCCCGTGTCCAGGCAATTCATCCAATTTAAACCTCAAAGAAAATTGCCGGGTAAAGTTAAAAGAAAAGTTTTTAGACAAAGCCTAACTTCACTAAAAAAACTGCGAAAAACTATAAAGAAAGCGTCTTAAAACAACGCTTGAATATTATTAACTCATGTTCCCTTAATACCGTGAAGAATAAAAGTTGATCTAAAAGTTACCTCGTTACCTGTTCTAAAAGAAACACCTCTTTCAACAAAATTAAGACAGATATTTCCATTTCGTAATTTAAAAAATAAAATTTTTAAAATGATTTTTTTTTAAATTCAGAATGTGAATATTAAAAGAGTATACATTATTCAATTAATTATAGCAGATATATTACAGTATATATACATAAACATGTTTACTTATTTTCTCCAGACAAAGGAGAAAAAATAGAAAAAGAGTAATGAAAAAAACCTAAAAAAAATTTCGTAAAAAATGATTGTACCCGCCCAATTCCAAATCATCGGTGAATGTATGTAAAAGAGTGTTAATAAGTAAGAAAACAGTATTTTAAAATCACAATTTTAAAGGCAATCAATTTTGTTTAATGTTTTAAAATATTATTTGAAAAATGTTAAAAACCCCTCTTGATATACTTAATGTTTGAAAATTTAGGGAAAGCAGTTTAATTTTGAAAAAATTGCTAGTCGTTTGAACTTTCAAACTTAACTAGGTTCGACTTGGAATCTCCTACAATGAAAAGATATTTTTATTTAAAACAAATACCTTGTTTATGTTCGTGTTCATTTTCTTTTCCTAAATAAATAAATGAAAACGTTAATTATAATTTTTTTTTTGCTTAGATAAATTACTTGTTACTATACTACTTATGGACAAAAAAATTTTGTGTGACAAATATTTCAATTATGTGTAAAAAAAAAAAAGGATATCTATTTTTTTTTATTACTATTACCTTCAACATATTTAGAACTAAAGTTAAATTAAAATTAACTAAATTAAATTCACTTTAATTTGTCAACGATAATTTTGCGACTGCAGTTCACTTATGAAAGTGATAAAAAAAACTTAGAACTCAGGTTGAATCTCTATCAATAGAATTTACTCATTGAATAGTGAATCAACGGTGTTATAGATCACTGGTGACTCATAATATTAAAAATAAATTTAATTTATAAACATATGAATATTGTAAACCAAATCTCTAAAAGTATAACTTAAAAAAAATATCTAAAGTAATTATAGTATAATATCTAAAAAAAATCTAAAAATAAAAAAAGCCAAAAATTTTGTAATGGCGATTTTAACAATCATTTCCTGAATGTAATCAAAAAATATTTTTTTCTTAGAAGTTTTTTATCTTAGTTATAAACTCTACACGGTAAATTCAATTTTTGTTTCGAAAAACCACATTTCGCTGAGTGAGAATTATTTTGGGTTTTTTTTGTTACCATGCTAAAGTCAATAAAATTTAAAAAAATTCAAAACAATTAGAAAGAATCGGAATCAAATAAAAGTAGAAGAATCCAAAATAGATAAAAAAAAAATAAAGATAAAAAATTTGAAAAAATTCAATGAAAGTATTGAAACATTGGATTTGACAATATCCGGTTGACAATATCGATTTGTTTTATCTATATTTACAATTAATTAATTAAAAAAAAAAATCAGCAGTTAATAAACAGTGTCAGAAATTTGTTATTATCTTTATTATTTATTGTTTTTATTATTTTCAATCTTTATTATTTATTATCTTTTTTTAATGGTTTTTGTCAAATTGTGTAAGTCTTTTAAAATTTTACTGTTTACAAAACAAGAAATCATTAATTTGTATTTAAAATAAGACTAATGTAAATAAAAAAAAGGAAATATGAGTATATAAAATAGAATTAATTTATTTTTTTCAAACAAGTTTATAAAAACAAGTTTATATCGCGAAATTACCTTTACGACTACCATATATTGCAGCCACTAGCAAAGCAACGACAATGGCAAATAAAACTTGTCTAAATGAAAAATACTTTAATTTTTTATTATTTCAATATATTTTTTTCAAAATAAATTGAATAATAACAAAAGCTTTTAAAAAAACAAAACAACTTTACCTCATTTTGTTTGTTGCAGCACAAATTATTTTGTTAACGAAAAATTCAAATGCAATTTCGACGGACTTTAATAGCAAATTCTGACGTAAGTATGACAAAAATAACACGTGAAGAATTCAATGGATAAATGAAATAGTACCGTAATTCAATTAAGGATGTTTTCAATACTTGAATTCAAAATCAATTTAGCAAAATTGCTCATCGATATTCGATCTGAAAAAACAGGTTTAACTGGTTGCAGTTGATGGAAAACTATTCTTTCTATTTGTAAATAATTAAATTGTTTATAAGTTTTCTAAAAAAAATAATAATAATTTAATTTCAAATCGCTTCAAATTTAATTCAAATTGAAGAGAATATCTAAATGTATCAATAGTGTATACACATTGAAGATAACATGTAGATGTATCAATAATATATTTACATTGAATAGAACATGTAGATGTATAAATAATGTATTCACGTTGAAAAGAATATATAGATGTATGAATGTATACATACAGGGTCACCGAGGAAAACTTCCGGCTTTGGAACAGTTTTCTTGCCAAATCTTCGTATTACGATCAATCAAAATACTCAGGATCACTAGAAGTTATTTCGGCCCTCTTAAACTTAAGTGTTTCGACTTCCTATGAAGTAATTAGTACTTCTATTATTTATTTAACGAAACTTTTAATGACATCTCTTGATATAAAATATTGTAGAGCTTATATACATAAGTTTAAAAAATAAAATATATTTATATTATTTATTTTATTTGTAAAAAAATGTTATTCGTACATACAAGCATACACTTAAATTGTAATTCTAGTTGAACTTCGTATGCACAATTGATTATTGCAAACTACTTGTGACTCAAAAGACTGAATTGGTGTAATGAAATTAATGAAATATTCCATTTCAGTTCCAAATGTAGAGATATAGAGATTTCCATTTTCGTCTTGAAAAACACGAAGATTGCAAGCGTCTAAGAGCCACACTTTTGTTTAATCCCAAGCATTGAAATCAATAAACCTTATTATAGAAGCAATTTTTTCTTTGAGATCAGAGTATTTCAAATTAATCAATATGTTCTTCCACAGCTTGCTTGAAGTCCAAAATGCGATTAAAAAATAATGCGCAAGTGTTCAATAGTTTCACCGACTTTTTAAAATTCGATTTTATAAGTTTTCCTCCCTATTTACGATTGTTACTAAAAGACCGCGAGTTTTTACTTAGTTTTTTGTTAACTTTCAATTTTTTTGGATTGACTACATCTTGCGTACTAGACAGTGAACGCTTTGTATTCTTGGTAGATTTATCTTCATCTACGCTTGAATGATCATCAAATGACTCAGAAGAAGAAACTAAATTAATTTTAGGCTTCTTTTAAAAAATCTTTTTAAATTTTTTTGACTCGTAAATTTCATCTTCCAAAGTTTCAATTTGTTTCAAAATTGAAGTTTCTATTATGACGCTATTATTAAAAAAGAGTATTAGTAATCCAGCTGAATTCGGAAGAACCTTTAAGTATTTTCCACATGCTAAATAATAAATTACATAGCGATATGTGCGCAGTAACCTAATATTCTCATGCCGGACTAGTACAGTACCATCCTTCGATTTCAGTTTCATCATTTGTATTAGGTAAATATTGCGCATAAACTTTATACTTTGCAGAACCAGAATGACGAGATCTGATAATAAGAGAAAGAACTTTCGATTTCCCTACCGATTGAACTTTCACTTAGCCAATTTCACACTTTCAAATATAGCCAATTCATATTTATCTTTATTGAAATGTTCATAAATGTAGCTTAAGCATTGTCTAAGTTGATATGAGCTTAAAGTTATGTTGTTTTTTATTGTTTTTTTAAGCTATTTTGGAAAATCAACAAACAAACTCTTTTTGTTTAGTTTTTCAGTTTTGACCAGCTTTTCCAAACTATTCTCATTTTTTGTTGCGTCATGAAGTCCAAATACATCTACAATTTTTCTATTTAATACCGATTAATACCGAAAATAAAAAAAGGTTTAGCCAAATGTTTTTTTTTTTTTGTACGCTGAATGTTTTTCGTTAAAAATATTGATGCTGCTCTTTTGAATATAACAGAAAGTTCCGTCAACATATCAACTTACTGACGGAACTTACTGTTATATTCAAAAACTGATATGTTGACGGAGCTAATATCAACTGAGATTCTTTAGCATTAAATATTTCTTAAGCCAATTCGCTGTTTTTTGCTAACCATTCACCTTTTGTTAAGTGACATACAATAAATATACAAAATTTTTGACAAAAGCGTTTCTAACTTGTTGCAAATATCGAGATACTTCAAAATGAGAGTCGATGCCAAAATAATCAACGATTGTGTATTAATCAAGGCCGGTTTTTAGCCAAAACAGAAAGACGGTTAGAACTTGAGATTTAGATCTATTACTGGGTTTCTGAGTGTAATCAAATCTACGCTTAGTTCTTCAAATTGTTGTCTATAGAATCCAGTAGTTCGTTGGCAAATAGATTCAGGCAGTTTTGAAATATCAGAAAACTTTGAAAATAAACTGCTATGTTGAGCGTAATTCTGGTGTATTTAGTTTCACATTCTTTTTTAACAATAACCTGCTGATTTAAAACTTTATTGTTTAATTTTACCCACTGGATCAAGATGTTGTGGAGAGCATTTCAACTTCGTTCAAATGCTCTCCACAACATCTTGATCCAGTGGGTAAAAGAATTTTTTTTGTACATAAGGGTCAATAATACCTTAATCTGAAAAGAATTTAAAATTTTTTGAAGAGTTATTAATGTGGCTAACGAAACAATAGCGATGAGAAGCTATGTTCGAGGTATATCCACCAAAATTGATGCTTCTTTCTTCGATTATTTTCAGCTCTATTAATTTTTTTTTAACTCAACTAGAAAACTTTTTAAAGACTTTAGTGACTTTTGTTCATTTTGTTCAATAATCGGTGGAAAATCCGAAACTTGATTTGTTTCAAACTTTTTCAGGCAACTCAAGGTTCTCTGTTTGAAAATCAAACGAATGAGGGTCCGGATAATGCACGTTAAAACTGTTCTCCTTTAAGGTAGGCGGAATCCACCCAATTCATGAAATAGTTTAAAAAATATTCATTGCCGACACAAAGAAACTAACAGGGTCGAAACTTCTAATATTTGACGGTCAAAAGTGAGCTACTTTGTTTTCCTGTCTGTAAGAGAAATATTTTATAGCCTTAGATATTTTCAAGACAGTTAAAACATTTCTTGGAGGAAATGTTTAAAAAATGTTACTATACATTTATACAATTATTAGTAATAATGTAGAAAAAGCAACTTTTCAACCACTGCTGAAATTGGATATATCAGGTGTAATTTATCAACTAATCAGATATGTAACAATACCTAGAGAAAGAAATCAAAGAAGACTCCGCATTTTTTGGTATAGTTCCAAAAAAAAATCTTTTTGTAGATTTATTTGTTTGTTTACTTTTTTTATTTTTATTTTTTACGAAAAAATCTTTGAAAAATCAAAAATGTTTAATTTTGTTCCAAAATATCTGATAATCCATCAAGGGGCAATCCATAAAGGACGTCATCCAAATAGGGGGGAGGTGGTCGAGTTAAAAAGGACAAAAAAGGATAAGGGGAGGGGGGGAGGTTGTCAGAAAAGGACGTCACTTTATAGATTTTGTTATTTTAGTTTAATTAACATGGAAAACTACGTAAACATGTGTTTTTAAGAAGATAATGTATGAGAATATTTTTAATTTTATTTTTCAAAGGTGTAGCAGCAGATTCAAACATCATTGCAAGATGAAATAAATTTTTTGGAGTTAAAAATAGGGGAGGAGGAGTTCAGGATTTTATGACGTCCTTTTCAAGGGGGGTATAGGGAAAAAGGACAACCGGTGACAAAGGTGGGGGGAGGGGGTCAAAAATTGGCTAAAAAATGGTGACGTCCTTTATGGATGGCCCATTAAGTCTTTTAACCTTTGATTATAAAAAATTTTTCTATTTCTTAGAGTTTTGCGTCTTGTAATTTGAATAACTTTGTTTTGTGTGTACAAGGCATTGCTATAAAATCTTTTAAAACTTACAAAATTGTCAAAGGCAGAACCTCTTACAAGGATGTAATCATCAAAGCAAGAAATAAAAACAAGAATATAAGACAAATGATAAGACCTATGTAAACTTAACACCGTGCAATCCGCAAGTTTAATTGAAATACAGGGAGATCTAACTTTAAGAAAGCAACAAGAAGTGGTACTAGTTAAACATCTTGAACACACGCAACCTAAAAAAAGCGACGAAAACAAGTAATAGAGTTAAAGGAGCATTTTTTAAAAAATTAGTTATTGAGGTCTAAGAAGACCTAAAGGTCTTATCACAAAGCACCGAGGAACGCGTTGAAAAATACCTAACAGCTTATGAATTTTGTACACGGTTAAATAAAATGGAAAAAAGTAAACCCAAAGAAATTAATACAAGAAAGAAATCAACAAATAAACCAATAGTCACTGAACAGATTTTAGAACCGACACTTGTTGCAGAAAGTAAATAGTTACAGGAGATGTTGGATATTACTGGTGAGAACCAAATTTTAGAACCTAACAACAAACCTCTATTTGATTTCCACCATTGATTTTGCAAGTTTCAAAAACTGTTATAGGATTGTTTCAATTGAATGCCACTGAAACTAGCCCATACTATATTATCTGGGCTAGTACACAA